CAATAACCAGATAATATGTTTACATTTATCGAATTGATCATCAAAGTGTTTAATTCTCTACAACATCGAGCAAGTTTGAAACAGTTTGAAAACTTCATGTTGTTTCATCTCGTATCAAATTTCATTAATATACCATTACAAAAAGCATCGAATAACATATTTGTAATAATTATTAATTTCTAGTTTTCAAATTGGAATCAATTCATGCCCTCTAATGAAATTCTGATCATAGAGGGTTAATTACACTGATATAATTTCCGATCCAGTTGATTTTTTTCCAGGCTCAGTCCATAAGTGCAGGCATTTTGAATTTATTTTAATAGTTAAATATTCATTTCGTCAAAGCTCTTTGTTTCTTTTTTGTGCAATTTTATATTTGTTTTTCTGATGTAACATAATTCAAGAAATGGAGTCTGAATATCACTAGCCGGGACATTATGCATTTATAAACAATTTTAAAGTACAAAATTGCATAATATGAAAGAATATCAAAAAAAAAAAAGCTTTAGTAGTGCTTTCTGTAACATTTGATAGAGCTTTTCTAATTTAAGAATACACGAATTCCTATAAAAATCCATAGCTTAGCCTGTATTTTACCAAAACCTGTATTTTAAATATTTTATATACATTCTGCAGAGTTTTTGGAATATTAAATTTTTCCGAAATGCTTGAAACACCCGCAGTCCAATAACAAATAAATGAACAAATAAATATTTTGATCCCGTCACCGTCGTCCAAGAGTTAAATAACTTCCGATCGAAAAACTTCGGAGTTTTTTCCAATCGATCGAAAGATCTCTCAAAATTTCCCTCTCTCAGCTGGTTTCGTAGAAAAACCAGGCGGACTGCGGTGACACGAAAATCCGCAAGCTAGAAGCCGGACGTTGAATCAATCGGTGAACATCGGTGTGTTACGTCGCGGTATTATCGAACGCGCGCCACGGAAAACGTACGAGACAGGATACAAGCTGTACCGGGGGCCGTTTTCTGCGCTTCGGCACGATGTCTCGTTTCCGCGGCGCAATTTATGCGCGGTATCGAACAAGGCGACGAGCTACACAACTGAGCCGGCCGTGAACACGATACGAAACGAATTTACTACGAATATTATTCGACATGATCACCGCGGTAATAAATCCAGCTCTGTCTGTACCTTGGATGCTTATCAATACGTATACGATCTTCATTTTCCATGATAATGAATGTGATAAATGAACTGCCGGATGTTTGTATATTTCTAGAAAATTTTGAATTATGCGGAATGTACTTAATTGTGAAAAATTATGTCTGAAATATAATGTTAGCGTAATGTAACAATACGTTTTGCACAGGCAAATATGAATTTCCATCAAGATCTGTAATTAAATTGTATTTCTCGTCTTTTTACCGAAAAGCAGTTTTGAAATTTAGTATGTTAAAATGATAAATTCTAGGTAGGAAGCATTGTGGATTTATCACTTGATTTCTAATGGTCACATCAAATCTATAATGTGATTCTCTTTCTTAAGCATTTTATGATAAAAATGTCTCGCTCGAGTCTCGACTCAGTAAGTTGATGAAAATGGACTTGCTATATCTTCATTATATGTTGTACTGTTTGAAACTTTTATCTTAGACCGAGAATATCTCCATTTGATACGATATAATATACTGTATAAAAATGGGTATATCGTTAAATTAAAACTGCAAAAGTTCTCAAAACATTATTTCTTTCCATACGGCTACATAGGCTCAGTTAAAATCACAGTACAATACATTACTCAAACATTCTTTCGTAAACCAATTATCAAAGATAAAAGAGGGGGAAAAAAGAATTTTATCATATTTAGCTAGATATTACTTGAAATAGTTACACGTTACTTATTTCGTGACCTTTCTCTACGTTATTTCATTATTTGGTATTTGAATAAATTTACTTTTTAATCCACAGCATGTCGTCGTCGTCGTAACCTCTTGTATGTCAAATTACTTATTACCTTGTTTAAACAATCAAGAAATTATACAATAAATGACTCGTCATCTTTTACATTATTCCAAATCGTCATTCCCTATTTTCTTCCGCATAAAATGTGACGCTCGAGACTGATTGTGAGACAAGCCCCCCCGAGGGTTGGTAGTCGCGTGATAATACTTTCCCTGCGAGAAATCGATTCCTCCCCCTGATGTGCCTGATCTCTCTGTGTGTATGTGCCGTGTAGCTGCGGTGAAGAAAAGACAATTAACTAACCAGGTTTTTCCATTGTGTTGGCGTTGCAGGTACAAAGCGAATCGTTGCGTGAGCGGGGGCGGTGGCCGCGGGAACAGCGCGACTGGTGGTACCGGAGGCGGTCTAGGTAACGGAGGCAGCGGCCGCGGGGGCGGCGGGGGCGGTAGCCCCGGTAGGGGCGGCGGCGGAGGCGGCGTTGGAGGAGGCGGAGGTCGCGGCGGAGGAATAGACGGTGGCGCGGTACCTGCTACGCCACCGACCATCAGCCGTTACCACCACCGCTACCATCATCACCATCACCATCATCATCGTAATCACGACCACGTCACCACGACCACCACGGCGGACGCCACTACCATCACTGGCGTCGCCTGGCACCTCAGGCACAAGCTACCCCTTGGAAAGCAGTGCCTCGAACACCGTCTTCAGCACCGGCATCACCATCGGTCCCCCTATCGGGCCTTAAACATGGGCCAAAAGATTTCAGGTTAGGACCACAGCTTTCTTCCACGCACACCGATGACTCTTTGACTTTGTCGCGAGTTTCGTTCTTGGTTGAGTGGGTTTTCGAAGGATCGAACGTTTGAAAATAATTTTTTTTTTTT